ACTTTTCTAAATGAAGCAATTTGGTTCTTTCTTTTTCTTTCCTTTTTTCCTCTTCCAAAAAGGCTAAGCAAGTGCTCCCCATTAGGGATTAATATCCTGAAAATACTTCATCTTCATATATCAAAAAACAAAAGCTGTTTTTGTTTACTCTGGTATTTTCTACATGCTGGTAGCTCTCCCACCCCGCACTTCCCAGCGGAAGGGGTGAAAGTATAATGCTAGTAGAGTCTACAGCACTCCTGATGCTGCAGCAGTTGGCACAGATCCCTGGGGGGCAGGAGGGAATCCAACCCCTCCACCCCCCCGGAGTTCCCTTACACCCACACTAGGACCCAGGGTTCATAGAACCATAGAATATCAGGGTTGGAAGGGACCTCAGGAGGTCATCTAGTCCAACCCCCTGCTCAAAGCAGGACCAACCCCAACTAATCATCCCAGCCAGGGCTTTGTCAAGCCTGACCTTAAAAACCTCTAAGGAAGGAGATTCCATCACCTCCCTAGGTAATACATTCCAGTGCTTCACCACCCTCCTAGTGAAAAAGTTTTTCCTAATATCCAACCTAAACCTCCCCCCACTGCAACTTGAGACCATTGCTTCTTGTTCTGTCATCTGGTACCACTGAGAACAGTCTAGATCTATCGTCTTTGGAACCCCCTTTCAGGTAGTTGAAAGCAGCTATCAAATCCCCCCTCATTCTTCTCTTCTGCAGACTAAACAATCCCAGTTCCCTCAGCCGCTCCTCATAAGTCATGTGCTCCAGCCCCCCAATCATTTTTGTTGCCCTCCGCTGGACTCTTTCCAATTTTTCCACATCCTTCTTGTAGTGCGGGGCCGAAAACTGGACACAGTACTCCAGATGAGGCCTCACCAATGTCGAATAGAGGGGAATGATCACGTCCCTCGATCTGCTGGCAAAGGGCAGGATTTTGCCCAGGTGCGGGACCTGGAGGAACCCAACACAGAGAGGGTCCAGTTGGCATTTGCTGACCTTGGCCATCCTTAACACCACCCGTGGTATCATGCTGAACGCACCACGAGGTATTTTCATTCTGCTACAGGAAGCCCAAGCAGCAGTTGATTAGTATCTTAAAAGAAATTCTATGTTGGAAAAAGCAGAGTGAAAATGTCTACCTACATCTTAAAAAACATGAAAGTATTTTAAGAGAAAAAAAGTCCTGGTTTAAATAAACCACCACACACAATTGATTTGATCATCATGTGATTTTAAAACTGGCTTAAAAACTCAAAATACCTAGCAATTATCTCTGCTTTTCTGTTGCACTCACCAGCATAGTACCCTAGTGCTAAAAACATAAATGATTTCCCCCCCACACAACACTGCTGTAAGGTAGGGAAGTATTATTATCTCCATTTTACGGATGGAGGATGTGAGGAACAAAGAAGTTAAGTGATTTTCCCAGTCTGATGGAAAATCTATAGCAAAGCCAGAAATTAAACCCACCCCTCCCAAAGTCCTGTGCCTGAACCACAAAACCATCCTTCCTGTCTTTTGGCCCAATTTTTCAACCCTTACTGGTGTTGAGTACTTACTTGCACTCCAGGAGTAGTCATACTGAAGTCAATGGACTACACATGAGAGTAAGTGTAACTTAGTGAGAGTAACGGACCTTTTGTGATTAAATGGGTCTCATTGTCTTTGTGACTGAAACAAAAATGGTTTTCTAAAAATGACGGGCTCTGTTCAGCAGAAATTCTCTTCAGTGCATCTCAGCAGCCAAGGGTCTCGAGCCTGAGGTGGGAGATTTTTTTCCCCTTCCAAAATAGCCCCAAGCTCCACAATGCCATTATTATACAGTGCATTCTTCAGGAGTCCCACATATCTTTACACATCTGTGGGTTCACCCTGGTGGAGTGACAGGATCCTTCTGTAAAGTCAGTCGAAGAGAGACCTATATATACTAATCCTGCACCTGCTGCTCTTAGGTCTAGTCTATTAAAAAAAAAAAAAACAGAGCAGAAGAGGCTGCAGTAAAAGAATTCTGTGTGTTCCAGAAAAACTTCTAGCTTGTCCACAATTTTTTGAGCTGCAAATTTATCTCGCAAATAAATCTTAGTTCTTGGATGCGCCAAGTAAAGATTTATATGTAGTCTAATCATCGCGTTCTCCAGGCCCCTATAACTCTTTAGAACAGATGGAAAAAACATTTCATAGGTAACATTTTTGGGGACACATCAAAGTGACTTTGGAAATGAATTAAGTTAAATCAAATTAAGGACACTTTAATTCTGAGCAAAAGCATCTACACAGGAATTTAATGTGGTTTAACTAATCCTCTTTAAATTCACTCATTTAGCTACTTACAATTAACTTTCCCAAGTGTCCTCCTGTAGACAAGCTCCTATATTCATTTGTTCAAATTAGGATAACAATACTACAGTTCGGTGATCCTAGGCAAACAGGCACTAAAAAGCTGTTGTGTATCAGATGCATTAACATTATCTATCTCAGGAGTCCTGTTTCACTCAACTGTTTTGAACAATGAGTATAACAGAACATATCCCAAATGTTTGCACGGAATAGCAGCAGCCAGATTTGAACATACAGACAAAGGATGAATTAACTGTTCTCTAAATATATGCATCTCCAGCTGCGTTATGACTTCCACTGGCAAAATGAGGAGTGTCTACTGAATTTCTAATGGAAAAAGTTGTACTGATCACTTGGGTCTCTTCTACTGTACCATTTGATGGAAGGCAGCTGAAACAGCTTAAATCTCAGCATACATGCTTTGCAAATGATTTGCTGACAAACATTCTTCCTACCTTGTAATGACATTGGAAGACTCCCTACAAAATAAATCTGTGCAGTTTAACATTATAATTATTGTTTTGTCTGTTTATATAGTGCCATTAGTGTGCTAGGCAACTTGCAAGCCATATGAAAACAAGGTCCCTACCCTGAAGAGTTTGCAGTCTAATGTGCAGACAATGTGGAAAGACAACATGTAAGCACAGGAGATGATGTGAACTAACAAAAGTGGCGCGATTGAGCAGTGAAGTTTAATGGGTGTCTTTATAGGTGATTGGTTTTTAAAAAAAATAGTTTTAGTTTAGGAGTGTTACCTGCCATGTGTCGAATGGTCTTTTTGCAATATTCTTCAGCCATTGGGACCACCTTCATCATTTCCCTTCCCCACTGCACAAGTGGTTTTCCTTGTATTGCATATGATACAAACAGAGCTGTACAAAAGGACCCTAAAAAGCCTAGAATTAACATATAATATTAATAATTACTAACATGTGATCTACATTTCTACTGTAATAATAATAATAATAACAAAGACATCTTTGGCACAGCCTCAGTAAAATCATTACTAGCTGTGTCATATCTCTAGGATGGTTTAACAAATCCATCTGACCTATGTCTTTCTGTTTAACAGGCTGACACTTGGTATGTCAGGACTCTTGGCTGAAGCACACTGCTCACTGGATGACGACTTATTTCACATATGAGGGAGATTCTGTTCTCAGTGGTATAACATGACAGCAAATAATGCAGTAGTCCAAAATAAATATCATGTGTTCATATGACACTTAAAATCTTTTAATCCAAGTCACATGGAACAACTGACATGGACCAAGTAATTCAGTTATACTCTAAATCACTTTGTTTACAAAATCATTCAGCTTGCAGACTGATTAAGATTTTAGATGTAATACTGTTTCTTGCTCATTTTACTCTGAGTAACTAAGTCATTTCTTCATAGACGTTATGCACACTACTGTGTTCTGTACTTCAGGTTTCCTCCTATTTTGTTTTGGGATCTAACTGCCCTCAATAGGAAGCTGTGCAAGTAGTCTATGCAGGGCCGCCCGGGGGCGGGGGGGGGGAGCAAGTGGGGCAGTTTGCCCCAGGCCCCGGGCCCCGCAGGGGCCCGCACGAGAATATAGTATTCTATAGTATTGCAACTTTTTTTTATGGAAGGGGCTCCCGAAATTGCTTTTCCCCAGGCCCCCTGAATCCTCTGGGCGGCCCTGAGGCTATGGTGTATATTTGCAGGTTGCGGATCACAGAATTTCACTGTGTTCAAGATAATATTTTCTTTTAAGAGACACTCGCAATATTGGCAGAGTTAGAAAATTACTTGATTGTTTTCTTATATCTACTTGTGAAATTTTTGAGCTTTTTTTCAAATACAGCAAAAAATACCGAGTGCAAACTTTAAAATAAAGCTAAGAAACCAGCTCAGTAATTGGAGACACTAAAGCCCCAAATGCAAAGCACTGGAACATATGCTTAACTTCAAGCACATGAGTCAATGGTACTGCTCACATGCTTAAAGTTAAGCACTGGCCTAAGTGTCTTGCTGGATCAGGGCCTTATTCCTTATAGGAACATCCCCAACATTTTGGCCATTCAATCTTTTTAGCACCTAAAGGTGTCGGACTATGCCAATATTCTGTTTCTCCCCAGAGAATGCAGTTTCCTGAGAGCATGGTCAAAGAGCAAAGGTGCAATAAGAAGCATGCACTCACTGGTGGGGATTGTGTGTTTGTTAAAGGCATGGTCATCATGAAATTTAGGAAATACAAAGTTAGGAATACAATAATAAAGCACATATGTGATTTGTGATCTTAAATATTTGTTGGTGGCACTAGATTTATTAAATACAAAACTGTGCTATAGGAAAATAGGTTTGCTGATAGAGTAATGCTGGTCTTCAAGGAATTGTCAGGGGTAAAAAGTAAAGTATTTTATGAAGTTACAGCTCCAAATGAAACCATTACACCTGCTCCATGTTGCTAGGGTGACCATATAGCAAATGTAAAAAATCGGGACGGGGGTGGAGGGTAATAGGAGCCTATATAAGAAAAAGACCCAAAAATCGGGACTGTCCCTATAAAATCGGGACATCTGGTCACCCTACATATTGCAGTTCATTGTGTGTTTCTCTACTACTGTTTAAGTAGCACAGAAATATAAAAATGAACCTTCAGAACACAAACAAATGAATTTTTTTTTATTTCTTCCTAAAACATGTGGATTTGGAAACATCTTGATGTCCAAATTTGCTTCTCTTCACATCTATAGCTAACATAATCTGATGGGGCAAGAGCCCATAACAGAAAAACAGTATCTTCTGAAGGATAAACCTATGTGTTCACAGGATCATCTGGATAAATGTGAAATTGTTACACAGTAATTTGAGCAGGATAGTAACATGCAAATTCTTCAGTCATTACAAGTGATGTTTAAGGGGGTCTTCCACCCTACAGCTGGAGGTGCTATGTATTGAACAAATACCTCATGGAAGGCAAGGCTCAAGCCAGGACTTAGGGATCTGTAGATACAGCAGTAGTTCAATCAAGTGAGCTAACAGGAGCTGTGCTAGTCTGTTCTAAATTGATAATCAGTCATACATATCACAGACAAATAATTTTATTTCAGTGGATGTTACCTGTAGGGTGATTATGAGTCATTCGTCCACATTCGATGCTCACTTCAATAAGAGTTTCTAGCCTCTCAGGCTTCCAGTATTTCATCCCTAAACACATGGCTTTTGTAGCGGCTCCAAATCCAGAACCTACATTAAAAAATGTTACGGGCTTTAAAAAGGAAATAATACACAAAACGTAGAATGCCATCGGAAACAAGCATATTTTGTTAATTCAAATAACATTTAGGGAACGGAGAGCTATCAGTCAAATTGTACCACAGTTTTCATAGCCTCACACATGGATTTTTGCCTCCACATGTGGGAACCTCATTACAATTGTCACTAAAAGTCCTGTAAGGAACACTGTAGGTGCACAAAAATAAGTGTTCTCCCTTTTCTCTCATTTAACTCAAAAACTTCTGCAATCATTGATCAGTCTTGGCTGACACCTGAGTTGCTTTGCTTTTTCCTGACGCCAATATTGAACATAGTGGTAGGAGAAACAGACAAGCTCAAAAAACATAGTGGAAAGCAAATCTTTCAAATTGTTTGTTTATAGGGCCTGATTTTTCAGAGTACTTTTGTAGCATTGAATATGCTCAGTCACAGCTCCCATTACTTCAATGAGCACTCAGCACTTCTGCAAATTAGACCCCAGGAGTCTCAGATTGGGCACCCAGAATTTGAGGAACACACAATTAATAAACACTGTGAAAGTTCCGGTTTAAGTGATTTGTCCAGCATAAACCAGCAGGCAGATTCATCAGCTTGGGGAGCACTAAAAAGGCCAAACGCTCAAGTTTAGTTCTATATTTTTTTCCTTGGGCGGGCTTTAACCAGAACATGCAAAAGGCTCAAAGTCATACACCACACATACTAAGAGACCTTTCCACTTTTTGCAGGCTGGAAAAGGAGAAGACATATAATTTTCCCTTCTGCTACTGTAAACACCCACACTAAAGCTTCCCTGACCACTCGTCTCTTCTGTCTGCAGCTCTTACCTAAGAGGCAGGAAACCTTATACCTTAAACACCACATCAGAATATATATGCACGGAGGTTGCATGGGCAACATGAATTCTGGCATTTCCTAACTTTTGAGTGCTTTACTTTGCAACCTTAATGTTCTTCTAACATGGGGTTTTTTATATATAATTTCCTAAGTTCTAAAAAAAGCAAAGTCCATCATGTCGAATCATATTGACCCCATCACCAGATCTGAAACCTTTAGAACCACTTGAAACTGTTTTACCACTTGAACTAGCAGATGACAGTAGTAGGTTGTAATCCTCTATGTGGACCAGCCACTAAAGGGGATAATGCAAACACTTTGCTGGTGAGTTTCATAGCTTTTTTCTAGACAAGAGCAATGCTGAGACTCAAATATGCTGGGTTCTCTTCCAGGTTCTGGAAGGGAATATATGCTCTAGTTGTTTTAGACTCTTTTGCTCTGTCCCATAGGGTTGTGCCCTTTTGTTCCAGTCCCCCTTTGCCCACCATTTCTGGTCCCCCTCTGTTTTTCACTCTTCTAAATTCACATCAAGCTGTTTCTTTTTTCTCCTTCAAGCTGACATAGGCACCAGTCGGGGGAACATTGAGACCATGGGGCAGAGAGTCTCCTTCATCTCACTTCCATTCCCTAGTGCCATGATGGCCTCTAGCAGCTGAGTGGTGTAACTGGAGGGAAAGACCCCCTCAGTGCCTGCAGCCCTGGCCTAGAGCATGCTCGGTGCAGAGAGAAACTTGGAGAATTTAGCTGCCAAACCCTAATAAGACTCTCCATTTGGGTTTTTGGCACACTGACAGCAAAAGGTACATCTTTGATACCAGGGTGACCCACCTGTCAAATTTTAAGTCTTTGGTCTAGAGCATGGAGGGCCCAGAGCTTCTCAATTAAATGGTTATGAGAATTTTTTTAACACTGTCAAAACCGCATATTTCCCCATAACCTCTTAGAAACAGATGAGCCATGTTTGTTGAAGCCTTAAAAAAATTCAGCCCAAGGCAAATGCCCAGCATGGAAATTTTCAGCCTGAACAATTAAAGTTTAGCAAAGTTCTGAGTCACTGAAAACAGGGTCTTACAATGGAAAACATTAGGCAACATTAACTACAGGTGTCACTGCTAGTTCAGCCTATAATGCTAGAATCGCTTCATCCCTTCATCCTGCATCTGAAGAAGTGAGGTTTTTTATCCACGAAAGCTTATGCCCAAATAAATCTGTTAGTCTTTAAGGTGCCACCGGACTCCTTGTTGTTTTTGTGGATACAGACTAACACGGCTACCCCCTGATACTTCATCCCTTAATGTAATTCAGCTGCCTATGAAACAAAATATGGTCATTATTTGACAGTGTACAGCAACAATACACAACAGTTTATCACAAGAAGTGACTAGGATGACTGTATCCAGAGGAAATTGAGCACACAAAATTTATGTAGGTAGTATGTAGTTACCCACTCTGCAATTTGCCCTGGGACATGGAGGCCGACATAGCAACTTTTGCAAAAGTGAGACACTCTAGAATGACCACATGAAATCAAGAATTTGGTTCTAACCTCATCTGAAAGATTAATCTGATCACCACACTTTCAGTTCTACTGGAATCTTCTAATCTCATTAAGAAACTTGGAGCCTTGGGTATAGGGAATCCCTCACCTCAATTAAATTGTGCTCTGCTCTCAAGATTAAAAAAAATCCTTCTTGAAATATACAGATCGGCATTTCTTAGAATAGTTTGGCAAAACACAAGATGGAGCAGTGGGGGCAAAAAACTTAACTGGCTTCAAGACTGAGCTTGATAAGTTTATAGAGGGGATGGTGTGATGAGACTGCCTACAATGGCATCTAGTTGATCTGTGACTGTTAACAGCAAATATCTCCAATGGCTAGTGATGGGACACAAGATGGGGAGGGCTCTGAGTTACTACAGAGAATTCTTTCCTAGGTGTCTGACTGGTGGGTCTTGCCCACATGCTCAGGGTATAACTGATCACCATATTTGAGGTTGGGAAGGAATTTTCCTTTGGGTCAGATTGGCAGAGACCCTGGAGGTGTTTCGCCTTCCTCTGCAGCATGGGGCATGAGTCACTTGCAGGTTTAAACTAGAGTAGTGGTGGATTCTCTGTAACTTGAAGTCTTTAAACCAGGATGTGAGGACTTCAGTAACTCAGCCAGAGGTTAGGGGTCTATTACAGGAGTGGGTGGGCAAGGTCCAGTGGCCTGCGTTGTGCAGGAGGTCAGACTATCATGATGGTCCCTTCTGATCTTAAAATCTATATGTTTTCATTTTAGAGAATTCTAGCTTAAGGCATCCTAAGAACCATACTTCCAGGATGAGAAGGGGAAGAAGGGGAAGGCTGAGAAGAATAGATAAGAACCCAAAGAGCTAATTAAAGTATGTAACTGTGGTACTGTTTCTAGAGGTATATATAGCTTTCTCAGGGCCACACATGCAGTCTCCCACTGATTGAATTTCCTCAGACTTGGCTTAAAATCAGCCAGAGCATGCATAGTGCCCATGACAGGGGCATTGCCCAGCCCCTGACACACAGGAGGAGTAAATGGATTGGAGTTGCCAGGATTACTTTCCTCCCCTCCCAGCAGCTGTGTTGAGGGACTGAGCATGCGAGAGAGGAGCTATTCGTGCTGAAGAGAGTTGGCTGCAGAAAGGCAAAAATAAACAATGATGGCATTGCACTGCAGTGTTTTGGTCCTGATATTGCATCAATATTTGATGCTGTTGAGTGGTGTTGGTGCAGTGTCATATCACAGCGATACAGTATCATATCAACCCAGTGAGATGTCTGGATACTGTAGTGCATTTTAGTGACTATGACTATTTCATTTGATGATAAAGTGGCTCTCCGGTTTCTTCAAGGTTAAACTGTATGGATAGGTGTGTGTATAATACTAAATGTATAGTTCATTTAACCTTGAAGAACTTGGAGAGTCACAAATTAAATAGTCACAGACAGCCTCAAATATATGTTATGTATATACACAAATCTCTCTGTGTGTGAGAGAACAATGCTAAAGGATGGTAGGATTATCAGCGAAGAAAAAATTGGTCTTGGGAGTTTAATGCTGTATCTACCTGAACGAAGGTAATATAATAAGATAGAATATCAGGGTTGGAAGGGACCTCAGGAGGTCATCTAGTCCAACCCCCTGCTCAAAGCAGGACCAATCCCCAGACAGATTTTTTGCCCCAGATCCCTAAATGGCCCCCTCAAGGATTGAACTCACAACCCTGGGTTTAGCAGGCCAGTGCTCAAACCCCTGAAAAGATCTTTCTTTTGCCTCCAAAGAAGAGTTACATTGAAAAGGTTATCTATCTATAGGGTGACCAGATATCCCATTTTTAAAGGGACAGTCCCATATTTAAGCCCTTCTGCAGATGTCCCGACTTTTTCTTAAAAATGGTCAAATTGTCCGGTATTTTCTGTCTTCCCCACATGAGTACTGGCAGGTCCTGCTGCTGGCCGGATCCCTGCTTGCCAACCGCCCGCCCACCACCAGTGAGGCGGGCGGTCCAGTGTCCAACGATGGGGGTGGGTGTGCAAAGCTGGTGGCGGGCCAAAGTGGCTGCTCCCCCTGCTGGGCCCTCAGCGCAGCCCCTGCTGCATGCCAGCTCTCGGCCAGCAGGGCCCTGTCCCCCACCCTGTTTCTGGACAACACTGGCTGTACGCTGTGAGCTGCGATGGCTGGTGAGTGCGGGCAGGCGCCAGGTAGCGGCTGGCTACATGTTGCCTCTGCTGCCCACCCATTGGCCCTTTACAGGCTCCCCCTCTCAATGTCCTTTCCCTGCTTTGCCCCTTCACCCCCAAGCCCCACTGCTTCTCTATATCCCCCTAGGTGGGATGCGTCCTGGTCCCAGCGCTGTGCAGAGAAAAAGCCCCTGGTCGGAGTACAACGCTCACCAGCAGCCTGGCCGGCAGGTTCCTTCCTTCCCCCACTGCCTCGGGCTGGGCCGGCGCCCCAGGAAAGCCCAAGACCCTCCGGCCCTCAGCACTGGCCAGGAGGAGCCGAGCCCTGCATGTGTCGAACCCCACGCAGCACTGGCGTGGGGAAGCCTCTCTGCCCTAAGGTAAGCTCTGGAGTGGAGGAGGAGAAGCAATTTCCAGCCTGTTCATGTCCTAACCACACAGGCTCCATGGCAGACCCCCGGGCAGGGGCTTAGCACCATCTTCACCTGCACCCCAACCCTGGGTCCTGCCCCCAGGGAGCGCAGGGCTGCTCCATCCCCTAGGCACCTCCCCTGCTGAGCCACCTCTCTGGCTGGGTTCGCTGAAGCCCCTGCAGTCAGGTTCCCTGGGTCCTGGTGCACAATGCATCCTTAGGGCTTAACCCCTTCCTGCCCGTGCTGTAGCTGGGGGACAGGAGGCAGCTGGGTTATGTCGGTGGCCAGCAGCAGCCTGGAGGTGGTAGCTGCCTTTCAACACTGTGCGGGCAGGAAGGGACAAGCTGCTTCCAGCCCCGGGGGAGTGGGGAGGGAGGGAAGAGATGAGCTCTACAAAGACACAGGCCAGGTCATCCCTTCCCCCATCTCCCCTGTGGCTGGAAGCAGCTCCCGTCCCTTCCCTCCTGCACAGTGCCGAAAGGCTGCTGCTGGCCACATCCTGGTGTGAACCCTGGCAAAAATCTGGGGAGGGGAGGCATGTGACCCTGCATGCCCCACCCATGTGTTGTCTTGGGAAGATGCAGCGCCAGGTATCAGGAGAAGCGGTTCCGTCCTGGGGCCCCAGCCAGGCATGGAGCATGGAGAGCACTGGGCGGGGAGGGTTGGGTTGGTCAGTCACACACATCCCCACCCCGTGTGTGAGAGGGGTATGGGAGTGTGTATATGTCACCTCTCCCCTAAAGCCTTAGAGATAAGAAGATAAATAAAAAGAATCCAACTACGCAGTATTTCTTTTTAACAGGGGCTCAGTCAACTTGATGTTAATTTGAACATTTGTACTGCATAGTTCTGATTGATTGCCATTAAACTCGCTTGAATACAAGTAATTTTACCAGGTGTCCCGTATTCAGCATAGGGAAATATGGTCACCCTATCTATCTATCTATCTATCTATCTCAACTGCAAGCTCAACAATTTGTCTTTTACAATGGGATCATTAAAAAGATCAAAAACTAGAGAAACAAAAATGGAAACATGGTGGAAAATATTCCTTAAAATAAACATGAAATTCAAGGACAAAAATCTGGACCCAGAAGCATAAGGCCAAGAATAAAGTTTCTTTAAATAGATGTTAAGCAGGCCAGAGCTGATTTACAAAAGGACATAGTGCCCTACAAAAGGAATTTCTTACATATCACTTGCCATCTTTGGACAAACATAGCATTGTTACAGTACTAGTATCTTATTTGTGGCAGGGGAAAAATAATCTATTTCCAGATATTTAACTTTAAAATAAATGTGTTATTAACAATCAACATATAACAGATAGAAAATACTGTACCCTTTTCATTAAACGGTGTGTGCCAAGCTAGGAGATAGTTATCTGGTTTTAACTGTGAGCAACCTTCAATGGTAGCGGGGTCTGACCATTTCCCTGGAAGTTTGTCAATAATCTCAACATAGCGTTTTACCAAGTCACGATACAGGTCTTCTAAACACCAGTAATCTGTTCAGAATAAGGAATAAAGGACCATTATAATAAGTGGAAAAAGAAGAGGGGAATATTGAAAAATACAAAAAATAACCCAATCATGCATTTTTCAAATATTACTATTTGTCATTTCTAATTTATGTGAAGATTTGTTAACATAAATGAATATAAACACATTTATACAAACCATTAAAACAGTCCTGGAGAGGGTACATCTGCATCTACGTCCAAATTACAATCAATAATATAAACAAGCAAAAGCAGAAAACACTAGAGAGGACATATTTTTATTTATTTAGTTAGTTATTATTTTAATTCCCTCCAGTAACTTGCTTCAGGGCCCATTTAGGCCCTCATTGAACAAGGTACTTAAACATGTGCCTCCCTTTAAGGGCATGAGAAGTGACTTTAATGTGGTTATTCAAGTGCTTAAAATTATGTACATGCTTTAATACCTTGACAAACCAGAGCCTCTGAGTTTATATGTGGACACTAGTCCAGTTCAAGACTGAATTACCCTGTTTAAAAAATTACCATTGACTAGTTTTTAATTCTACTGATTCATTGTAATTAAGCACAGGGGCAAATTAGTGGTTTTTAATATATTTTTATTAATTGTATATTTTATATAATTATTGATCATTTATTTAGATTTGCAGGCTCTTTGGTGCAGGAGTCTGTGTCTTCTTATATTTCTTCAGTGTCCAACACAACGAACTCTTGATCCTCAATGGGTGTTACCGTGATATAAATTATGAGGAGGAGGAAGAGGATTAATAATAATAGTAAATCTGTATAATGTTAATTTTCTCAGCAAATGATTCTCTGAAACATGGTCATTAACTACATTTGCTTGTTGGTTATTTCTACTGTGCTGAAACCTGAGGTCTTTACTGGGAGCCCTTAGTCATGTTGAATAATACATTGCTTCTTCAGTAGGACTACTTGTTGGAGTAAGTTACTAAGTGCACCAGCACCTCATCAGCTCATTCCATTGGTCTTAAAAGAATGCAGCTGGGCCCTTGAGGGAAGAGAGACCTGGTGAGTCAGGGCTGCCTGGGTCAGTCAGGAAAGGGCTGGTGAGGTCTGCCAGAGACCAGGACAGGGGCGGGGGAGGGAGCTGCAGGAGGTCCCTTTAGGAAGCTGTAGATGGTTCCTGCGGGAAGGCTGGAGAGCAACAAGAGGGGTTTGCTGGCTAACTTCCCCAAGCCAGACGGTCAGGGCTGGAGACCAGAGAGCAGCAGAAGGAAGTGCCTGCTGGCTCTATGCTGGAGAGCTGAAGCTGAGAGCCAGAGAGGGCTGAAGGCAGGGGAGCAGCTGATGCGCTTACCCACTGACATCTCCACACTGGAGAGCTGGATCCAGGGGAACTGTGAGAAAGCCAGGGGGACAAAGGGATGCTCCCCTGGTGAAGATGCACTCCCAGCAGAGAGGCTGTGGGGATTCCTGCTGGAAAGAGCGGGGATGCACTCCAACTGGACAGGGCAGAGGCATGGAAAATGACTGATCGGAAGTCTCGGTGTGGTGGAAGATATCAGAGTGTTATATGGAAAGACTCACAGCAGAGAAGCTGGTGGGCTGCCCACTGGGAAGAGTGGGGTTTTAAGGACAATGTACACGGGGTGTAGGAAACGGATTATGTTTGGGACTTTTGTTGGGGATTTTTTGAATGATGTTTTGGTAATAAACTGGCCCCAAGGAGGGCTGTTATTCAAGCAAGAGAGCCTGAAATTGAGTTACTGGGAACTCTGAATGGGGAAACTGAGGCAAGAATGCCTGTTGGGTGAGGCAGGATGGTGCTCTATGGCAGGAACAAACAGTGAAAATCACATGCCTCAGGCATCCTGTGGGGAAAGCTCATCTAATAACCCCTCTATTTCAGTCTCTGGCCAGTTCTTCAGAATAATGGAAGAGAGTCAATTTAAGGCAAGGCATGGAGGCTCATAATCCAGGGATGTTCTTTAAATGACCATATATGCAGTAAAACAAGGTTAAAAACAGCAGTTTCCCTTCTTCCATCTGTAGTATATCATATAAAACATACCCCTCACCCCACATGGAATCCCAGAGGAGCAAGGGCATCTTCAAGCCATCCCCCGACCCACCACCACTTCAGACTTAGCCATACGCCAGTTTATGTAGGTGGGAAACAAGAGGCAGAAACGTATCAGTTGGATAGGCATATGCTTCTTGAAGATTATGAACTGCACATCAGCTACCTGGAGCTAATGGAATGGGCTTTTGCCATCAGAAGCTGCATTAAGAACCAGGCCTGTTCTTGTATCCTTTTTAAAAGAACACTGTAGCACAAACTGCTTGGAGATGAAATCCCAGAGACTGGCAAATATTTGCCTACTACTATAAAAGCTGTCTTCAGTACCAAACCTCACTCTGGCCCAGAACATCCTGGGACCGCCGCAGTAGTAGTACCACGACAGGTCCTATATCTGAAGACTCACAGGGGAAGTTTTCAAGTTGGTATCTCAGCAGTTGAGCCCACTAGAGATAGACGCTTGTTTTTCTTCAAAACTGAAGCCTGATTATTTAAATGCTTGTTCATGTCAGGAAGGAAACCGCCTGATTGGTTTCAGTCATAATTGTATGGTATCTCCTGCTCTTGGTAATATCCAGACATATCTTGATCCTCCTTCCATGCAATAAAGCATGCACTGAAAGAGCTCCTGGGATTGCTTCACCCTTTGTTCCTGGATGAGACTTTCTGCTTGGACGTTTGGCCAGATTCATGGGACCTAGGCTTTAGCTGAGTCGGTATGAGTACCAGCTGCCATTGCTGCTTGTTACATATCCTTTCTCAGGTGCTCTGGCTGGCAAGATTGAGGTTCTGTTGTCGTGCAGATGGAGAGGCTGATGGCTGTAGGAGATGTAGGTTTGAATTGTGGTTTTACCATCTATGCCTTTAACAGAAGTAATTAATGGGATTCAGATAGCACTTGAATGTTGAGACTCTATGCTTTGCCTTAACAAAGTGAAGAGTAAAAAGGAATCGTGATTTTTTTTTCCTTAGAGGGATGTTACCGGAAGAAACAAAATCAAGATTTTAAACACCAAAAAGGTGCTGTTTATGGAACAACTGAAAAGTAAAATGCTGATGACTGTTGTGGTGACTACATTAGAGAAGAAAAGGCACTTGTCTGTCACTTCCCAGCCTTTACTAAAATCCTGACTTCCTGGTATAATCTCTCTAGGGGAAAAAAATCACACATACATCTTGCTTTGTTGGAGAAGATGTGAAGGAGTATAAGAATAATACAGTAACATAACTGATAACAGTTACCATTCTTCATGATTCCCCATTCCCCACTCACTTGCTCTATGTCAGAAACATAGATGCTTGAATACTGCCATTATAACGGAAAAGCCATGCAACATCAGTACTGGTTTTGTGTCCATTTGCTGCAAATCTTTCAGCTTTTAGAATCACACTACAAACTATAGGCCCTATCCTGCCAACTGACTCGCATGGCAGACCCTGCCACCCACATGGAGCTCACTAACTTCACGATGCCTGTGTGGGAACAAGAGACCACCAGCACTGAGCAGCTCCTTCCATTGCAAGGTCTTCACAACACAAACTACATCTGCTCTTGTGTTTATACAGTGTTTAGAGTAATGGGGCACACTCCCAGCTGGAACCTTTGGATGCTACCATAATATAATATTTAATAACAAAACACACACACAAAAGGTGAGGTGAAAGAAGAGGAAATAATGAAATATTCTTGCAGCTGCCACAAAGGATCACTATGTGTGTTGTTATTAACCAATATAGCTAATGGGATTTTTTCCCCCTGTTTTTACTTTTTTGGGATCAGGGGGTCTTTCAAATTTCTGATAAAGTCATAAGACTCCTCTTTTCCCCTTCTATGTACATACAGCCTTATGCTCCTCAGTCTGCATCAAGGCCACCATCTTGGATGAGGAAGACAGGAACTTTCAGATGCTGACAATGCTGCTCCATAAGCTTCAAATGAGAGAAAAGGGTCCATTTAGCAGCAGCTTCACATGAGAGAACGAAGTCTCAGGTACAAGTAGTAGCTGAATA